AGTGAATGTGTGGTGTGGCCGGCGGTTGTCTACCGCAGGTCGTCGTGGATGCGCATGTGACCGAATAGGCTCATGCGATGCCTGAAAGTGCGAGGACAGTGTGGGCAGTTGAGACGAGCTTGATGGGTATAGGTGGGTGCTCTGAAACACGTCCGCATAGCGCTTTTTTTGATCACTCACTCCGCATACGGCGTACTTTAATCTTTCGCCACCCCAGTTTCCCTTATTGCCTTTTGTGAAACAGCTGAAGGGGCTGTATCGACTCATGTGTTCAACCAGTTCTTCTCAAGACTTGCTGGAGAATATCCTATTGCAACTCAACTGGACAAAAGACTCCCTTAAACGGGCTACGGAGACTTGCAGGTGTCCCATTGGTTGTAATCACTGGATTCCGAAGATATCCCTCACACGACACGTCCAGTCTTGTCGTCTGCGCTCAAAGGGCTACTCGAAGAAAGAAATAACTGGCAGGGTGAGCGCGCTCACCCTGGCAGCCTGGAATGTTCGTTCCCTTTTAGACAATCCGAGGAGCAACCGACCGGAGCGGAGGACGGCGCTAGTGGCACGAGAACTGGCGCGCTACAAGGTGGACATCGCCGCACTCAGCGAGACCCGTTTCTCCGAACAAGGCCAACTGGAGGAGGTAGGTGCCGGCTACACCTTCTTCTGGAGCGGTCGACCCAGGGCAGAGCGACGAGACGCGGGCGTCGCCTTCACCATTCGGAACGACATCGTGGGACGACTGCCCTGTTTGCCGCAGGGCATCAACGATCGCCTGATGAGCCTTTGCCTGCCTCTCTGGGGAGGCAAATTCGCCACCATCGTCAGCGCCTACGCTCCGACGATGACCAACCCCGACGCCGTCAGAGACAAATTCTACGAGGACCTGCACGCCCTCTTGGCGACTGTGTCGAAGGCGGACAAGTTAATTGTCCTTGGCGACTTCAACGCCCGCGTCGGCACAGACCATACTGCCTGGAGAGGAGTGCTGGGTCCCCACGGTCTCCGCGGCTCAAACGACAATGGTCTGCTGCTTCTCCGCACCTGCGCAGAACACCGCCTCATCCTGACGAACACGTTCTTCTGTCTGCCGGAGCGAGAGAAGGCCACCTGGAGGCATCCTCGGTCGCGCCAGTGGCACCTGCTGGACTATGTCCTCGTCCGGAGGCGAGATCAGCGTGACGTGCTGGTGACGAAGGCGATCGCGGGTGCTGACGGGTGGACCGACCATCGCCTCGTCATCTCGAAGATGCGTATTCGCCTACAGCCTCGCAGGAGACCACAAGGGAAGCGACCCCCAGGTAAGCTGAATGTTGCCTTGTTGTCTTTGCCCGCTCACCATCTCCATTTCAGCAATGAGATAGCTCAACGGCTAGACAACCTTCCTATCGCTGCCGCCGACGACGCCGCCGCAACTGCCGAGAACGCCTCCGTGGAGAACCGCTGGTGTCAACTGCGAGACACGGTCCAGTCCACGGCGCTCGCCGTCCTCGGTCGCGCTCTCCGCCAACACCAGGACTGGTTCGACGACAACGACGCCGCCATCAGAAATCTGCTTGCCGAGAAGAACCTCCTACACAAAGCCTACGTAGATCACCCCACTGATGCCACCAAAGATGCCTTCTACCGCAGTCGCCGCCAACTTCAGCAACGACTGCGCGAGATGCAGGACGGCGGGACTGCTCGCAAAGCTGAGGAGATCCAAGGGTACGCGGACCGGAACGAATGGAAGAACTTCTTCTCTGCGATCAAAGCTGTCTACGGTCCGCCGACGAAGGGCACTGCTCCTCTCCTCAGCGCCGACGGCAACACTCTCCTGACTGAGAAGACGCAAATCCTGCAGCGATGGGCCGAGCATTTT